GCCTTTGATGCAGAGGATGGCTGAGGACTAGTTCAACACCTGGTGGTAATTTATAGGGGAACTCTCTGTGACAATTTTCACCTAGAAGACATCTAAGTGTCAACTAAGGTCAACAGAAAATGTGGCCCTTTCTCAGGATAACCAAGTCATTTTACGTGGATTTGCAGATGCTGATATAAGAGGCAGTTACCAGGTCTTTATCATAGCTTCAGGTTTCTGATTTGAAAGATTCCTCATTTTATAGACTCTCTGTTGTCAAGCATCTGCATGACTTTGATCATGTAACCATGACAATAGCTTCAAGAGGGCTCTTTGTAGAATTCCTTTATCTAACAACACAATAATTTTAGTGAGTTGTTTTTTTATGGAAGATCTTTTCTCTGTATTATTGTTATGATATTTTGTATATATCCTGTTAATATATTCAGGAAGGAGTACAGATCAGCACAGGTTTAGAGTGTTAAGTAGTGATCTGAGATTTCATCTTAATTGCTCAGTTTATGTTTAGGCTTCAGAGCTTTGATAGGATGGTACAAAGAACACATTTCCCCACCCATCTGCCTGTCCACATTCCTACTTTTTTAAAGTACATATTAGTTATTGATTTTTGGAGCTTTTATTTAATACTTGAAAATTAAAACATTGAATTTAAATAGTTAAGATACAAAGGAGCCATCCAGCTAAGATAGAGCCTCAATGCATTAATTTTATTTATTAATAATTTGTAATTAAAACTAAAATACTACAAGGTCTGTTGCATTTTAATTCAAAATTATGTAAAAGCTCCTGTAGCAATGAATACTCATCTCAGGTAAATGACAGTGAAATACCTATAATGGTGGATTTTTTTAAATGAAATATTGTCAATGACTAAATGCATCAACCTCCCGTTGAATCAGCCCTATAGATTGATTGTGAATAGCATGCTACTATTGATTTTTCAACTTGTTAACTTAGAACACCTTATTCTAGGCAGTTATCCATGATGTAGGTAATTTCTTTTTCCTATCTATACTTTGACAAACACTTCAATTTTATGACTTTTAACTGAATGGTCTTTAAACAATGTTTTAAGGTGATCATTGATTTTTCTCCATATTTCAAATGAGACATATAAATTTGATGTTTTCTTTGTAATATTGACATCAGGAGGCAGCTAAACCATCTCTAACCAATGATTAAAAAGGTGGTGATCGGTTATGTACATCACCAGGTGAGAGCCATCAGACAAAGGAATGAAAAACTAATCATGCAGAGTAATTATATCCCCAGTGATCAGTCACACCACGCTGAGGGGTCCCTCGTGTCTGACGGATGTCCAATCTGACCATATTTTTAAATTGAAAAAAAAAATTATCTGAAAATGAAGTAGTTGGCTGAAATCTTTCCCAGATTATATGCAGTTAAAAAAAATAGCAATTTCCTTAAAAGGGTATTTATTTCCGACTACTGAATGGACAGATGTACACAGAGGGGAGAAGTCATTGCTTGACGCATTTATGGTTCGTCTTGATGTTTGGCTATTACTTACCATCATCCCTTGTCTGACCCCTACCCCTAAATCATGGCTCTCTGCATCACAGACTTTTTGTGTAGATTTTATGGGTATTGACTGATAGCAGTTTTGATGGCATTTTATGTTCTGTGCATCATCTCAAATTTAAGAATTTTTGTTGTGAAAAGAAAATCCATTATCATCTTCATTTCTTGAAGGTTGTTTTTCATGAGAACATGATGTTTGTCACTAAATAAATTGCCACTAATTGGGAAAAAATTATTGGTATAAATGAACAATTCTTATAACCATTTTGTAATTCTTCCATTTTTTTTTTTAAACCTTTGATAACAGATTCTTACATTTATGATGAATTTTCTTAATTTTCAATTTAAAGTAAGAACTATTACACAATGAGTGAACTGGAAGAAGGCCAGTTGACATATTAAACAAAGCAAGACTTATTTATGAAACCAAAGGAAAAAAAAAAAACAAGTACCTGACTTCATGACAGAAACACATACTTGGGTGATTTGTATAACACACTTGGGATCTGACACCTTACTCTGTGATCCTAGAGGATCTATATCCTACTCTGTGATCCACTAAGGACTTGGGATGGCTCAGCTGGAGGCCTATATGAAGGCTTTCTCCTACCTGCCACATGTTTCAATAATTCAGGAACAAAAACAAGACAGGATCAGAGAATCTGAGAATCTGTGAAATATTGATGAGCCAGATTGATTCTTTCTCTCATTACCTCTGACCTCATATAAATTAGTTTTATCAGTATTTCACTAGTGTTGTCCTTAAGTGAGGTGTAAGTTCTTTGGCTGCAGCTAATGTTGACAGTTCCTTACCACCATATACCACCTACCCTGTCCATGTAGTAAAAAACCATAACAAAATGTCATTTATTAAACCATAACCATTAACCATTTATTAAATTGTAAACATTTACCATTTATCCCCCAAGTACTAAATTGTAACCATTTACCATTTGTTAAACCATTATCATTTAGATCTGATGATTTCCATAAGAGATGTACTGTTGGCACCATGTGATCACTCAAGACAGAACTTTACTTCCTCCATTAATGAATTTTTCTATTTATGTCTGCTTTTTGCTCATATTAATGTCTTCTTTACATGTTTGCTGTGGCCTACTCTAACAAATTCCTTTTTTCATCTTGTCTAATACTTGCTTGGACCTTAAATTCTTTCAGTATGTTTGATTTTTTTAATTTGTACATGTTCGTCTATTTGAACATATACAATCCTTATAAATTGCTTGAAAGAGGTGATGACCTATTAAGAAATTTATCAAGATCAGGCATTCATTAATCTTATTTATGAAAATCTGCAGTCAAATCAAAGATGGCTGTCTTAGTCGTCTGCTGAAGTCACAAGAAGGTGACCAGTTTAGAATCAATGTGGATGATGTTCAAATTTCATGTGATCCCTGGAATTTAATGAGAACACTGGGGAAACATTTGTATTTGTATTGATACTCATTTATCTTTGTCACCAGGAGGATCAATCATGGCTTTGTGTGTCTTGTTCAACTCTTGTTAAATGCAGTTGTTGAAAAATATAGAGACCATTATTACTGATGTGCTTTCTTTTGGTGTAACTTATAAAAATCAACTGATGTTGCCATAGAAATACTTTTTTCTTTCTGTATAGATATTGATAGTCATAATGATAAATACAACAGATACACGAGTTTGTTGTTCATCTCGCAATATCATGTAATAACTTGAGCAATGGTTTACACAAATAATGCTCAAGTGAGCTCTTATGAAAATCAGTGACTTTTGAGAACTGAACCTTATTTTAATCTTAGCGTATTGCATCAGTTATATGGATTTTGTTCAACCTTGTACCAGTCAGATATTTTTTTCTGTTTCTAAGACATCGTGTTAACAACAATTTTAAACAGGGATATTTACCAAATAAAGCATGGTTAATAGTAGAGTTTGTTGAGGGCACTTTTGAATTATTCATAAGATGATAAAATTCTAGGATGATTAAGAAAAAATCTTGATAAATTACGGAAGGCGAGCACAATGGTTGGGTTTGCACGTGACTGCTCAAACTATGTGTCTCCTGGGCTAACTTGACTGTCCATTTTGGGCAGAAATCACTTTACCAGTGATTGATATGAACTTTGGACATTTAATAGAAATGTTTCATATCATCAGTTCATGATAAATATATTGAAAACGTGCTCAAAATGAAATGGAACAAAATATTTATATGCATTGGAGCTAGCAATTGCTGCAGCCCTGTTGCAGCCCTGTTGGATCTCATTGCTACTGGAAGTATAGCATCATTGTATCTTCTCCTTCACTGGCTTCTATAATTGAGATATTTTCACTTCTCTCTCAGTTTTGGTCATGACTGTTGTAGGATTATTTTCTTTATTTACAGATCAGTAAATTTCTTCTAAATTTCCCCCAGCACAAAATGTGATTTTGTTAATTACTTGGGTTCATGACTGGGCTTTCTTTTCTTCATTTGAAGTAAAACCTATTGGTTGTTAATAAAGGGTTACCAACTCTTATCTGCAATAAAGCAGAAGAACAAAAAAAATTATGAGAGAAACTCTTAATTTTCTTCAGTAATTTGGAAGAAAAATGTCTACATCTTTTCAATTAAAATAGGGAAGTCATGCAAACTTGATATGAAACATCTACTTTTTCCTCATTAGCAAGAATGACTAAGATGTTGATCAAGTTAAAAAAATGAAATCAAATAATACTTTTATGATCAAGGAATAATTGTAGCAAATGAAAACTAGTGGGTGAAATGAAGTGTCAAAGATTTAATATCATTTTCTTTTCCTGAATATCTGAAAAAATTATTCTTCTTCAATCATGAATGGCAAACTTGTGTTGGCCATGTATTTTTGATAATGATGTTTGTTTAAGGAACACATAATATGATAAATTGAATATTCAGCTGATGAAATTATGCAAATTAAATTTGTTTTCCTTGAGAGAGGGTCGTGACAAATCTTAAACTTCACGGCTAGGAATTGTCAAGTCTTACAAATTGTCAACAAGGTCCTGATGTCGGAACTAATCTTTTTTGATGGTCCATTAAATGGTTTGTCAGTATGGAGGACCCAGAGATTGGTAGGTCATCAGAGTGACCATATCTCAGGATTCCAGGGTCTCCAACTCATTAATTAAGGACATCAATCAGAAATACCCCTACTTCAGCATCTGTCTGGGTAAAGTAGATTAGGGAAGGGCTACCAACTGAGGTCCTAGCAGGCGGCATGGAACGAAGGCTGTGAAACAAGCAATTAATTAAAGTTACTTCTAAATCACTCATCTATTTGTAAATGAAATAATCTGTATGTTAATTTTGTGAAAACACATTAAATCAGTCATGAATATAGATCATAAATTGTAAGATTGCACCTCTAAGAAAACACTTATTGTCATAAATATTTGTTGAGTAATTTCTTGAATTTTTTTGGTGTTTTCCATTTCAGTGCTACCTTCACAGCGTATGGTCCAACTATTTGTGCTGCATATGCTGCCTGTCTATTGACCAAACAGTGCAATAGTCAGGCCTTCCAGATACATCAGCGCTCCACCACAACTCCAGATATGATCAACCAGATCCAGAGAGCTTTCGAGTCCCTCTTCATCTAGTCATCTTCTTCTTACTGTGTGTGTGTAAGTATTACTATTTTTTTGACTAGTGAGACCTTTTTCTTTAAAAATTTGTTTTGTTTAATCTGAAATCTTTTTGATTTTACATTTTTAATTCAAAATTAATTTTTAGCCAATGACACTTTCGAAGATTAAGGACTCTACATATAATATGATTTTCCAGCAAGCTATGCCATCTGGGGGAAAAGAAAGAGAATAAGAGGGAAAAATTATTGTTTCTGATGACAGAATATTATTTTCCCATTTCTGAAATCTCCCATGTTAGATGAAATTCAATTTAGATTTCTTTATTAATAAAAATCTGTCTTTATTGGTAACGGAGTCCCCACTGTTATATATTCATACATTGTTAAATGACCTGTATAATTGTTATTAAATTCTGGGGACCTTAAAGAGGTTTTAATACGCTGATACCTGGTTCAGCAGCGACAGGACGTTTGTTCTGGTTTTATGTCATCGAATCAAAGGTCCAACAGTTCATATCATCAGAAGGAAGTCTTTGACATTCATGAAGGGAATATTATTGAAGGAATAATTGTAGACCGGTGATTGACAGAATTTTGGTATTTAATGTGGGTGATCTTTATCTTTGAATATATAGATGTCAACAAGAAGATTAGGCACGGCAGTTTAAGTCGGGTGTGAGTTTCACTTTACTTTTAAAGAGGCATGCACCTTTTGATACTCTAGGACTTTATCTACCTCCCAAGTTAAAGAGGGTTCAGTGTTTTTTTGTAACAGTGGAAAATTCTGTAGTGGAAATTTGTCCTTGTAGAATTTTTTCCTCTATCACTTTCTTTTGAGCAAGTTAAAGTACAAAACTTGAAATAAGTCTAAAATTACACCTTTAAAAAAATGACACCATCATTCATCATTCATGCTTTATAAAGGTGAATTCATCAAGGTCAAGATGACCACAAGTGTCCACAAGACAAATTATCCTGTGTGAGTCCCATTAATAGCACATTTCCTGGGTAGAAGTTACCGCAGACCACATTGTAGTGACTGAAGTAAAGGGTGTCATGTTTTTCTTAGGGTGGCAGATTTGAAGGAAAACAGTCATTAAGGAATCATAGGGAGGATTTAGGAGTAATACAGGGTCTTCACAATGCTGATCATCTGTAGGGAAATATTTGTGTAGCCGCTCAAATTATTAGTGGTCAGTTGCCTTCAAAGGCTGCTGTGTTGACTTACTTGTCACACTACCTGTGTTGCTTTGTTCAAAAGTATAAGACAAAATACATGTCAGTACTATTTCCATGGAAAAGATTCATGGCCTGAACATCTTCCACTGATGCACAGATTATCTTTAAGATAATCCCATATAAACAGTTTTTATATTGAAAATGTATCACATTTAATTTGATGACATTCTATAGGGATTTGACCTTAATGGGTAATTTTTTATAATTAATCATGTAAACATGGTAAAACCTGAAAGAAAAATATCTGTGGAAACATTTAAATCAAATATTAAAAGCATGGATTTTCCATTGGTTTTATTTTTTCAAATGCTTGTTTGTCTTGTCATGACTTAAATTTTCACCATGAATTTCAATTTATTCTACCAGGGGTATATCATTACTTCACATTGCATAAATTTCATGCAAATTCAAACTTACAATGAAAGATTAAGGTCAAGGGTCAAGTTAATTTAACCTTTATCATACATTCTGAGACTTCATATTGTAGCAAGTGAAAGGTCATGGTACTAAAAGCTTTAGTTCAGAAGTGATGTTACCACATCTTTAGCTTGACCATAATCCTTGAACTGGATAAAATTTGAAGAAAATGAAAGTCCAGGATTAAAGTAAAACAATGAGGAAAGATGTACTTACACCAACATGGGATCATTGAGTTTTATTTAAAAAAACAAAAAAAAAAAAAAAAAAAACTCTGCATTGTATGATAATCCATTTAGAATTTTCATGATATAAACAGAAGGATATTCCTTTGTTTATATGTCTATCATATTGATTGACAGACAGGTTTATCATTTAATACCCTCTTACACTTTATCAGAATTGTTTCTTTGTAAGAATTTTTTTCTTCTTTTCACAGTGGAACTCAATAAAAATCACAAGGGTCAAATTCCTTTGTGCATAGATGGAACTTTGATATAGAATTATGCAGAATGAATTTACAGAGTTTGATCAAAGACTCTTTAAATTTAAATTTGAGTTTAGAAAGATCTTATAATCCATTAAAGTTTCTATTTTAATTCATGAAATGGCAATTTTCTGAATCATCAGATATTAAGATAGGTTGAAGGTATACATTTTTTTCTTTTGATATATTTTAAATTACTGTCAAAATTGAAAGTTTAGGAGATTGATTCCATTGAAATGGTGATAACAAGTAACATTTTTTTCACATTAATTTGTTTGGTCTGTCTGTTTTGGGAGGCTATGGTTTATGCTAATGACTAAGACTGCTTGGTGCCATATGCTTTATACAAAGTTAGGCAATAGTCTCTTGTTGCCAGTACCAAACCTTGTATAAGTTTGTCACCTGACAATTATTGTCCAATTAAAGGCCAGATGACAATTGTCTTCTGGGAATTGGTAATCTCACAAATCTATAAAAAAAAGTTTGTACATGCATTTCCCTTTTTAAAAGGTTCTCGAGGAAGGACACAAATTGTTTCATTGTCCTTGTTTTGGGAGTGAAAGTTTTGTCATGTTACTGGTATTCAATTGGAAAAAAAAAAGTTTTTCAGATCTCTTGCTCTCTCCCTCTCTCTCTCTCTCTCTCTCTCTCTCTCTCTCTCCATATGTGCTATAAGATTATTTGTATTGTATGATTTCAAATAAAGACCCAGCCATTGTATGGACATTACCGGTACACATATTGTAACGCTAATTAAAATCAAAAATAAATTGCACTGAATAGTTTTTGCTTTCAGTGGTTAGCGGTATTGTGTACTATGTATGAATACTTGTATTGCCGGATACTCGAAGGCTTGTGTCCAATACAGGAACCACTCAATTCAGAAAGAAAACATGTTAAAGGGGACAATGTGATTTACTCTGGGCATGAACATTCTTTTATTCAGTAGAGTCAACAATGACAGAAGTCCATTAGAATTTTATTTGAGGGGTAGGTAGACCTACTAAATACCGACTGATTGATTCCCTAATAAAAAGCCAAGTAATTCGGAACATCACAAGAATGCCATGTTTTTATTGTATATATGTACCTTCAGCCATTTTTCTGTGATATTTGTTTTTGGCTAAAAAGTACAGGTTCCAAACACAGGTAATTAAACATTACTTAAGTTTTCAAAAATATGTCAAAGACAATATACTGATTGAATAATTTTTGGTCTTTTGTTATCTATAATAACATGAAGAAATTTCAGTTTTTGATGCTTTTTAATGAAGTTGTTTGAATGTCTTTGTCCACTTTTTAACTTTCCCTTGTCCTAATTCACTCAATGCCTGGATACTTTTCACTGCATCCTGAGAATGCCCTTGTATTTTAAAAGACTCATTCGACATCAATCAGGTATGTAAGTTCCTGTCACCAAAGTGAGGTCTTCATCCACGGTTTTTTCGATTTCTTTGATCTTTTATTTTCGCACATGACTTTATAATGGAGTCATCTGGCTAAATCAAGCCCCTCACTTACTGTAATAAAAATATAATTTCTTTCTGAGGTAGACTCAAACCATCCATTTATACATTTATTTAGATCCTTCTGAGAAAAAAAATCTGTTAGCAATCACTAGATTATAGGGGATACCGTTAAAAAAAATCTTTGGAAAGATTTGTAAACCAAATACAGTATATAGTATTATAATTCATTTGTTTGTATGTTCCAGTGAAATATAATTGCATATTCAGCTTATTTGTATATTTTGTTAAATTTTTAAATGCTAAAGAAAATTAAATCATTTTGAATTTTTTTCATAATTTTTCCACTAATGATGTTTATTTATTTGTTTATTTATCAATTTTTGGGGATTTTGTCAGCTGTTTTATTAGGGGCTTTGGAGGGTGTTTTTAAAGTGTAAATTATTAGAATTGTTTGTTCACTTAGAAATTTTTTTTGACATGGCAAATTCATTTACTTTTCAAAGGAAACCTGATTTTCAACATACCTTTTCCCCCCTTCAAAGTTTACGGACCATGTTCTTTGGCCCAGGAACCCTTGATCGAGTTTGAATATTGTAGTTCAACTTTCACTAATGAGCATTTAAATATGAGATAGGATTTTGTTTAGATCGCTATCAGAAAACAATAGGATCATGTACTGTAACAGTGACACAGAATGTCTAAATTGACTGCTAAAATGAAGCCTGCACCCACTGCCTGATTTTTGTGACATCTGTACTGGACAAATCCTATTCAGCATAACATGTTTATCTTTTTGAAATATGGATGATAGAAAGAAATGTAAGCATTTATTACTTCACAATCAATTATTCTCTACAAATTTGGGGGTTTTATTGCTGGGTTTATGTTTTAAAGGCAAGATTTAAAACATTTGTTTCTTTTTCAAAATGTTTTAAAGTTTTAAAACGTTCAGTTTATACAGAGGGATTTGTCAAAATTTCTTCATTTAATTTATAATTCTGTAAAGCACGTCTATATAAGTGTGACACCTTGATAAAAACTTTCTCAAGGGCCGACATAGACGACATTGGGCACCCCCTTGTGTTTGGTCCATGTGGATTTTAGTATAATTCTAGAGTGGGCCAGATTAGCATGCCTGTCTTTAAGTGCTTTTCAAATATTTTGCATCATGCATTATCCAATCTGGATGTTGGGTGAACATTATTAGTTTTACAGATTTGTGTTCATTCAGGGCTATATTCAATTCAATGGCTGTCTTTTTTGTCATATTCAATAACTAGCATAAATACCTGCTGGTTGTTTGGTTTTCATTTTTTCTTAAATCTGATCTTTTAAGTTAATATTGGAAATTCTAAAGCCATAAACATTTACGGTTAGAGAGCCAATGTCACGTTTGTTGAATCACTTAGAAGAAAGACATG